TGGAGATTATACTTAATATAGCGATTTGAATATGTGTCTTGTGCCATGATAGAGTGGAAGTTTGTGTTACCACAGGTGTCAAGTGTGCAATGTCACATAAGGTTTTCCTTGAAAGAAACAATTGTGTGAATTAAACTTTAACTCTTGTATCTTATCTTTGGCCTCCCCATATTGCACTGTGGGAAAAGGAAGGATAGGGGGGCATCTAAGTGTTGGGGTGAATTCACCTGGCCAAATTTAATTGACATCCTAAAAAATGGGGTGAAGATCTGGTAGGAGAGCAAGGACAACTGCACACATTGTTGGTGAGGGGACATTGGGAGTGACTCTAGACTGAGGCTGTTCGATACCCTATTGTCAGTGACTTTAAGAGGAAATGCACACTTGGATAACTTCACAGCCTGTTCCAAGATTCATATCTCACGATCTTCAACTTGCTACCTTGTAATTGGTCTGCATGGTGTAAAGGCCATTACCCCAGTGTGCCTCATTTCTGTAGTAACATTTCTCAGGAAACTTGTGGGAATCACTCGCAGAGGGTGGGAAAAGTATGAATACTTGTATTCATCTGCTGTGACAATGGTTTGTTTGTACTGTAAATCAGAAATAAGAACTCAGGGGTATGTATTCTAGTGTTTCTGAAAAACTCCATTGGAGAATGGGTTTTTGTTACTGGGCCTGACTTTGGCGGATCACGGTATACATTTTTCCTAAGTTAAAACATACTGCGGAGATTTTGAATAGTATACCTTGTGGGCAGTGTATTCTTTGTGTCTTAAAGGAAATATGATAACAGGAAAGGTAGGATTATTTCAGAGCCATGGGGGTGGTCCTGTTAAGTTGGAAAATTCTCTGTACCTCTCCCATCAAAAACCCCAGACAGGAATGCCAACCCTGCTTGAAGGTAGTGTACCACTGCATGTTGTTAAATAGCAGTGGCAAATCCTGAATTTTGGCTGAAACACTGTAAAGAAGGTGTCTCATTCTTTGGGGAAGCCTCATATAAGAAGATCTGTGTCCCTTTGTTCCTCTGTACCTGTAAATGACCTCTTCCAACCAGAGGGTAAATAAAAACATTAATGGAATGAAATCACAGGTTCAGGGTTAAAAGTAGGCTAAACCTGCCGTGGTTGGCACCTAATTTCAATTTTGCTCAACAAACCAGCTTGACGGCTAGCAAGGCAGCGCCTCAAAACGCCTGTAATCCTAGCCACCTCTGACGGCCAAAGTGGCGAGGACTTGCTCAAGGGTCAGATTTGAGACCAGGCCTGAAATACGAGTGAGACCCCTGTCCCACTAAACATTAGAATCAATTAATCTGCGCAACATAAACTCAAATATATAGAAAAAACCAATCTACCAGCACAGAGGCTCGCTGTAGCCTCCATTTTATTTTTTTCCAACGGGTAGTTTTTCTTCAGTCCTTAAGGACTCAACTCCTTACATAGGCTTTGGTGGAGGTCTTGGAGCAGCACCCTGAAAGACAGAGTAAAAGAGTTAATTAAAATCAGTGAATTTGCCAAGGCAGGGAGAATCCCTCAAGGTCAGGTGTTCAAAACCAGCCTGAGCGAGAGCAAAACCCTGTCTCTACTATAAATAGAAAGAAATTAATTGGCCAACTAAAAACAAAGAAAAAATTAGCCAGGCATGGTGGTGCATGCCTGTAGTCTCAGCTACGTGGGAGGCTGAGGCAGGATTGCTTGAGCCCAGCAGTTTGAGGTTGCTATGAGCTATGCTGATGCCATGGCACTCTAGCCCAGGCAACAGACTCTGTCTCAAAAATAAAATAAACTAGTAAATTTAAGACACTCCCCCTCCCCCAGAACTTGACCACCATCCTCTAACAATGTATTCAGGCTATAAATGCACATAAGGCTGATAGACATAAGAAGAGACTACTACTCCAGAGTCTAACAATTTTTTAGGAGTAATTCTAGGAAAATGTTTTAGCATAGGTCTCACCTACCTTAAGAGCTTAACCTTAGGCAGATAACTTAATCTCACGTTTCTTGTGTCACATGAGGACAAAATGTTTTTTTTTAATTTTCTATTTCTTTTTTTAGCAGCTACTTCCTCTTAACACTTTTAATTTTTAAATTAATCTTATTCATCAAACTTTATTTACTTTTATTTATATTTGTTTATTTTGAGACAGAGTCTGGCTCTGTTGCCTGGGCCACAGTGCCATGGAGTCAGCCTAGCTCACAGCAACCTCAAACTCCTGGACTAAAGGGATTCTCCTGCCTCAGCCTTCTGTGTAGCTGAACTACACGGCACATGCCACCACGCCTGGGGAATTTTTTCTATTTTCTGTAGAAATGGGTTCTCACTGTTGCTTAGGCTGGTCTCAAACTCCTGACCCCAAGTGATCCTCCCACAGTGCTAGGATTACAGGCATGAACCACTGTCACAGAAAAGACACAGTGTTTTTAGCCATTTCCCCCGGCTTCCACATACTCCTATTTTAAACACTCACCGCAGGTCTAAATCTGGGTGGGGGTGTTCGGTCCTTGCGGGCTTCCCGAGAACGATTCCTGACTACCTTGCTGTGAATGGCACAACTCACACAGTAATGTAGCTTCACATACAGCTTGGGAAGCACATAGGCTGAGGAACAGAACACAAAGATTTAACATGAGGTATCATATACCCACTCTGCACTATTCTTTCTTCTTTATGCTCAGTCAAAACTAAGACTATTTAAATGTCTGTCAGGCACATCTACAAAACCTTCTCACTTCCAAAGCAACCATTCAGCTTCTGATACACAAGCATGTAAGTACAACTGTCAGTTTCACAAACGAATAATATCCTATGAACTCACCTTGACATCATGGGGATCAAATCCACACCTTAGATGTAATAAACCAAAAATGCAGTTCCTTCAACAGCCGCACGAGCCCTAATACCTACTCCTGAACCTTGTTAGCTAGCTGATTTTTTTTAAAAAAGAAAAATATGCACTTTTCTAACAGCAAAAACCTTAAAAATAGGTGGAAATTGTTTGAGACACTTCAATGAACACAGGCTGCAAAAAGGCAAGGTTGGCGAAAGTGTTTTAGGTACCAGCATCCTTACACATTTAGCGCCGATGGCTCACTTACCATCGAAGACACTCGCTTCAGATATGTCCCTGACAGCTGCAGCCTCCACTATGTTCCGAATGACAAACTTCTTTATGGCCTTGTCTTTAGGCACGCATCGGGCGCAGTTCGTGCAGCGAATAGGCTGCACATGGCCACGGCCCTTTTTGGCACGACCGTTGTTTCTTCTTTTCTTTGTCTGTATTAGGATGGAGATTATGTTTGGAAAGGAGTACACTTTACCCAGCCTCAGCCCCCTTCCGGCTACAAGCAGCGCCGGTCGCCCCCGAAAAAGGCGCCACTTAGATCCCTTATTTCTTCGCAAAATCCTTCAAGCCCAAAAGCATACGTAAAATCTGCCCATTAGGCTCTCGAATCCCCACACTCCCAAAATCTGCTCTTCTCAGCCACTATCCAGGCCCCCGCGCTCACCACGAGACACCACTACTCACCATCTTGAAAACGAGGACGCGAAAAAGGATCCGGTAACCCGCCAGGCCTCCTTATATAGCTCGAGACCCCTACGCTCACGCCAGAAGAATCTTTAGGAGATGGGTGTCAAGGACTATAACCCGATAAACTAAATTTTCGTTATTATTCAGAATTCATGCTGAAATTTATGGCGGAAAGGCGTTCCTAGAGTTTATTTATCCGCAGAACAAAATGCTTGTGGGACTATTTTGCCTGCTGGCGGAAGAAAATTAGAGTTATACGTCTCCCAGCAAGCATCGCGGCGCCCTACTCCGGACGTAATCGTGGGCTGTAATATCCGGTTTACTGGGCGCCAGGAGCGGAAGTTGCCCGGCGCTAGACCACAAATCGTACTCTCTGTTAGAGGCCGAAGAAGGACAGATGCTTTGTGGGAGTTGTAGTGCAAAGCTGAGAGACTCCTGGCCCCAAGTCTTTAGACCGAAGGTGGCGCTATGCTACCAGGGGACG